TATTTGTAGGGGATGGGTTAAATCCAATAAAAACAAACAAACAAAACAAAAATATTGAGCAAGAACTTCAACCTCCCAAAAAATTTGTGCACCGTCGATTTGCTTAAAAAATAAATTATCGACCATGTCAATAATTTGATTTTCCGATTTTCTTTATTTGACAAAGATATAGTGCTAATTCAGCAAAAACGTTTCGTGCATTGCCTTTACTGGAGGGCGACAAAAAATCCTTTCCATAGCAAGTTTTTTTTTCTGACAAAATGCCAAGGCAGACTTTTTTTTCTAAATAAAAAAATCACCTTTCTAATATCTTCCCTATTTCATAGCTGCCGGCTCTTTCATATTTCCCCTAAATAATGAATACTAAAACGCATGCAATTTTTATTTTGCAAAACAATTTACTGAATAGTCGAGTGAGATTTCAAACTATTTCCATTGTCTTCTATACTCACAAATCTCTTGCATTTGTACGAGCTGTTGTGAATAAAAGAATTTATTAMATGGTTTTGAGGCTAACACAGAGTAAAAGAGATCGCTAAAAGGGTTTATTGGAAAGCAGAGAAGCCAACTAAAAACAGGAATGACTGCAAACTCAGCTTTGATTCGAAAAAAAAAAACAGTCGAACATCAGTCTTCAAAACTTCAAGATTCGCATCTAAGAAAAAACAATATATGAATATAATCGTTCGGGTTTTTTTCCCCCCGACTTGTCTAGAGAAATATAAAAATAAAAACCTTGTATCAATCTTCAATAAAAAAAGATTCACTGAAGAATAGAAAATATTCGTCAACTTTCGCTGAAGTTTATCCTGCACTAATCAGAGGGCTTGTGATCAGTGATGCGAACCTCAAAGGAATCGAAGTTGAAAAGCCAATAAAGTGCATATGGAACTGACGTATCCAGGACTTGTAGGTTTATAAATTTACTAGAAACTAGCAGTTAACTACCAACTAGCACATATGAACTTAGCAACTAGCAACTAGCAACTAGCAACTAGCAACTAGCAACTAGCAACTAGCAACTAGCACAATCTCCAAGCTGCTCTGGCTGCAGCATTTTGGCCTTAACACAGGAACCCCACAGAGTAGAGTTGTCTGTGAAGGAGGCTAGCTCTATATGATAGTTTGAGCTTGTTATGTTTAAATATTTATTATTAAATTATAAATTTGAACCTTCCGTTGATACTTCAGCTTGCTCAGAACAACACTGAAATACATGAATGGTCCTTGTCTGGTGTACCTAATGGATTTGAAATTGGCATCAAACGGGATGACAACACTGGCGGTAATCTATCAGGAAATAAGGTAATATATTCTGCAATTGTTTTCTGATCACGAAGAATAATAGAGCAGACCCACAAGCATCCAGTGTTCAAGATTTTTTGTTTATGTTAAAAATGAAAATACATAGTAATATATATATAGCTATTTCAATAAAGGTTGTTGGATAAAATGGCGAATGTCAATGGTCGAACGGCGATTGCACGAACGAAAGTAATCACGGGTTGTTCTAGTTGAAATGCAATAACAACTGATTTGTACTGTTAGATGGTCTGTGGTAAACATTGCTCCATTTAGTCTCCACTTCTATCTAAGGTGAATCCAATAAGTGAACTTTTGCTTATCAAAACAGTGTAACCATAGTCCCTTTCGGTCGTGCAAACTCCCTTCGACAATCGCCTTTCGCCGATGTCCCCGACAACATTTTTTGAAAATATATTAGGTTAGGGTTAGGGTTAACCCTATTAACAATATTTGAAATGANAAGGCCAACAGGTTCAAGACGTTAAGATCTTTTCTCGCGTCTAAAGTGAAGAAAAGTGGATTTTTTAATGTTTAAATATTTCATATTTTTCCTATAATTTGGTGGATTATATTTTTGATAAAAATATATGTAGGCCCACGTGTAGTTTTCAACAAGGGATCAAAGTTCTTGGAGGCACCCGCGTGGGACTTTACCTAATATTAGTCTAGTACTTTTCCACTGGACTTCGGTCCAGTGAACGCGAATGAAATCATCTGATCTTTTGTTTACCACATGCAAGAAGCCTGTTGGCATGAATACAGCACAGGGGGCCCAAACAATGTAGGTGCAGGTGCATGTATAGAGTAAGTGTGACATCACAAAAATATTTTTTTTCGAATTTTTTCAGTTTTGTGAAAAGAGTAGCTATCTACCAAATTTAAGTATCCTAGTGCCATTTATAGAGGAGATACAAGCGATTTTATAGTCGGGTGACCACATACAGACACTTGTTAATTTGGTCTTGTTCATAACAAAAGATTTAGATTTAACAATACATCACTGCTACGGCACGACACGGTCACAGCGGGAAAGTACCACGTTTTTTGCACAGTCAAGGATTATTAAAGGATTTTTTGGTGCTCAAATTTTCCACACATCACAACTCACATACATTTCCTGTATGCTCATATTTTGATTATTGTACAACTATATCAGTCCAGAGGCTTCATAAATCTACCAGATTTCATAAACCAGTGTGAAACAAAGTCTAAAAGGCAAAAGAAAAGCTATGAAAACTGCTCTTCATTTTTTTTCAGTCTGGTATCCTAGTCATTCGCACGCTGTGATTGGCTAGTGCGTGGTAATTTTTTTCATAATCTGCCCAGTCTATAAATGTTATTTACTGGCTATAGGTCGGTCCGTATAGGAAAACACTGCCCTTGGTCTGTTATGCATGGACCTCGCTGCGCTCGTTCTGTAATGTCAAGACCTCGGGCAGTGTTTTCCTATATGGACCTCCCAGCCAGTAAATTATAACATTATATATATATAATTAGCCTCCTTCACACAAGGCTACTCCAACAGAAATGAACTTTCTTCTCTTCTTGGTTTTCCTGTGTATATAATCTTGATCAAGAAGAACTGGTGTTAAGAGATTAGGAGCAACTCCTGCTTTCCTTTCTTCTCAACTCCCTCCCCCTCTGGCATCTTTTTTGGCCTTAACACAGGAACCCCACAGAGTAGAGTTGTCTGTGAAGGAGGCTAGCTCTATATGATAATTTGAGCTTGTTATGTTTAGATATTTATTATGAAATTATAAATTTGAACCTTGATACTTCAGCTTGCTCAGAATAACACTGAAATACATGAATGGTCCTTGTCTGGTGTACCTAATGGATTTGAGATTGGCATCAAACGAGATGACAACACTGGCAGTAATCTATCAGGAAATAAGGTAAAATTCTGCAGTTGTTTTCTGATCACGAATAATAATCTAAGAGCAGACCCACAAGCATCCAGTGTTCAAGATTTTTCTTTATGTTAAAAATGAAAATACAAAGAAATATATATATAAGTAATATATAAATTTACTCTTGTAATTAAGATAAAACCTTAAATCAAAGTATTAATGAATAGCAGGCTGATGGATATTTGAAATCACCACTTTTTCCATATATGAAAAATATAAAGCACACATGATTGCATTGAATGTTGGTGGACCATGGCACTTCACAGCTTCACAAGAAGACGTGCTTGTTGTGTATTAAAAGCCATTAGTGTTTCACTAATAATTATTATAGTGTTTGTTATAATTATCATTTCAGGTCCGGAAATTAGAATTCACTCTAGCTGAGGCTCTTCATCAAGGATGTGATACAGTTTTTACTCTAGGCAGCATATATTCTAATCATTGCCGGTCAACTGCAATAGCTGCACGGCGGTTTGGAATGACATGCTATCTCTTCATGAGACAAAGAGAATCGGTAAGTACACATCATGGTAAACAGAAAACCATGTCATTTGAACTGGCCGCTTTAGATAGTTTGATTGATACATTAAAAGAAATGAAGACAAGGTGCACCTACCTTAAATCAATCAGCTATCAAAAATGATGTTCAGAAATGGATAGAGGGGATCAAAATAAGTAAGAAGACATAGTTTCAAGTTTGAACACTAAATATTTTAAAATTGCTAGAAAATGTAAAATCATTATTTTTCTAAAGAAGCATATGCAAAAACAGAACTGGAGAGCAAGCCTTGCTCTCCAGTTCTATGTTTCGATACGTTTCTTTAGAAAAATCATTTTACATTTGCTGTCATTTTTGAAGTATTTAGAGTTGAGACTTGAGATTTTGCCATTTTACCAACATAAACCTGCTCTTTCCATTTCTGAACATCGTTTTTTGATAGCTGATTGATTTAAGGTAGATGTGGTCATGTGAACCCCAGATGCTAAGGGTCTATTCGCGATTTTCTGGAAATATGAATCTATTCATAAATCTGTCAGTCAATGAGACAGTGGGTCAAGAAGTTGCATAGCAAAGCATGATATGAATTGAACAAAAAAGCATGATGTGAATTGCATTGAGAACTACAACTCCCATCATGCTTTCTTGTACAAAGTGTTGACATGACTACAAACTGCCTCTTAATCAATTGTGTTCTCGAACAGACCACAGATGTTGGTTGCCTAGGTAACCTCTTGCTTAACAGGCTCACTGGTACACACATGATATTGACTGAGTATCAACCATATGACATCACTATCTATCCTAAAATGAACATGCTGAGAGAAAAACTGGAGTAAGTTACACAGTAGTTACAGTTTGTACCACCACAGGAAGCCCAGAGTCCCTGACATTTAAATATATGCCTTTTTTGTTGGTTTTAAGGAAAGAGAATGGATCCAAGGTGTATGTCATACCAGCTGGGGGATCTTCAAATATTGCAATGTTTTCTTATCTTCAATGCTTCAAGGAGCTTGTTGATCAGGTGCGCATGACAGTAATGTAATTTTTACTAAGTTTCTTAATTCTGTAATATCAGTGTATGTTATATGCTAGCATAATTGTCTAATTGATAATTTAGATAAATCATGAATGTCAAATGTTGAACATAAGCAAAAGCTAAAAAAAAAATTATATTGATGAAGAAGAGGAAAGGAAGATGCTTTTGTTGGCTCATTATCCTGTCGTTAATTAGGTTTTTTGCTTATGTTGATGCTTGCTTTCCTTCATTTATCTTTTGTTGTGGGCTTCCTGTTGTAGTGTGAACTAATCCATAGGTCTATGATAACATGTTATTATTAATCCTTTATTAATTTATTGTAGGATGTCCTCAAGAATTTCACAGATATCGTGGTCACCATAGGTAGTGGTGGCACTGCATCTGGGCTTGCTATTGGAAACTACCTTACAGGCTCACATCTAAAGTAAATTAAACTTATTTCAAATCGCGAAATTAAACACGCGATGGACTGACAACAAAATAGTTAGACTCTTGAAATATGTTACTTAGTTTTGGCAGTGGCTCGTGTAACGCGCAAAACGCTTATAACGTTCTGAATAAGGTGAACTGGCCGAAAGGTTCATAAAGCCCTAATT